AGAAAAAGAATTGCGCTTGGTTTTGACAGATTTGTTGTTTTCAAACCCACACTACTTTAATATGTCACTTGTTCCTTGCATACTGACATTGAATTCTTGCTGTCTAAGACAGTTTTGAATAGTGATTTGTTGCATATCTTGTTTTTAAATTCTTTTAATCTTTACCTGAGGATATATTTTTATTGATTTTAGAGAGAGGGAAACGGAGGGAGGGAAGGAAAGAGAAAGAGGGAGACAAATATCGATTGGTTGCCTCCCTTATGCACCCCGACCAGGGATTGAACCCAACACCCAGGTATGTGCCCAGACCTCGAATCAAACCACAATCTTTTGGTGTAGGAGGATGCTCCAACCAACTGAGCCACCCATGCAGGGCTCTTGTGTGTTTTGATTGTTGTGCTTTGATATGCTCAGAGACAGAGTTTCGGCTCTTATGGCTCCAGGGAAGAAATGTTTCCTTGAAGCGGTGGTTGCGGTTTTGTACACTGTAGATAACAGTTTAACTCATAGCAAAAGTTTCGGGATAGTTATTTGTATTGACTTCAGCTCTGTGATAATGCTTTAGGCCAAGACCTAAAGACTACTCAGAGTGTGACAGCCATGCCGTAGTATCACCCACACCTATGCATTGGAATCTGCACTTTTCCAAACTCTTCCGGTAATTGGAATGCACATCTAGTTTATGAAATGCTGTCCTAGACTGATGTTTTTCAACGCTGGCCTGTTGTCTTAGTTGTGCATACCGGTCCTGCTGGCTGTGGCCCAGTAAGAATGAGCCAGTGGCCTGGTTGCACAAGTTGTGCCGCCACCCTTTTGTTTCCTTTCAAAACATTTTAAGTTCAAGTTGATGCCACTATTAGTTATTTTATTTAAGAATAATAGAGCAGATTGAGAAGAAAGTCATTCCCAATTTTTGGTGCTTTAACTTTGGAAGTAACAAGTTCCAAAGAACACATTTCACAGCCAGCTGACACATATTGACCCTTCTACTGAGAGTCCCTGCTCAGGGATAGGCAGCTTTCTCTATTCAAATGCAGTTTTCTCTATTCTTTTATTAAATGGAGAGGGGCAGTGATACAGCTGTTTCACAGGCATGTTTTTATCATATGAAAATCTATGGGTTTTTTTCTGAAAGCACAGTTGAATCTAACTTTGTATAAGTTGTGAATCATAGGCCACAACTTATTTTTATTTGGCACTTAGCACATTTCACAGATTCCCTTAGGGATGGGTTGAAAATTATCTTGTAGTGTATTTGGATAATGAAATTTGAAATGTTAATGACTAGTGTAAACAACCTTGAGCATAATGAAAAGTAACTTGTTTTCAAATAATTAAAACAGCGAATCCAGTATGCAAAAACAGATTCAGATATAATATCTAAAATGCGTGGCACCTTTGCTGACAAAGAAAAGAAAAAAGAAAAGAAGAAAGCCAAAACTGTGGAACAGACAGCACTGACTGCTAATAAGAAGCCTGGTCTGGTAAGATGGACAAAAATTCTTTATTTTCTGGTGTTAAATTTTGATAGGGATGTCTTTGAGTTTCATGCATGCACATCTATGTAAATGTGTTTAAAGGTGGATTTTTAAGAAGCTGGACTGGTTGGGTTCTAAAGTTCCAATGTTAATGTTTAAATAAATTAAAAGAGAAACCTTTACATGTGCAGATTTACGTTTGACAGTTTCATTCGAATTTGTATGACAGTTCATCATTTACAGAATATATTTGTATCTATTGACTTGTTTCTCAAGTTCCGCTGCCTATAAGCCATACATATTATCTTTAATCATGAGCATCCACTCAAACCTGCTTTCTTTGAACAATTCAGGAATTCAAATTTTTAATTTAAAATAATAGGTAAAGTAAAATTATCATCTATAAGTAATTACTTTTAGATTAAAAGTGGTTAGAAGTCAGTTTCACAAAGTATAGTGCTTGACTTTTGTCTAATTGTTAAAAAAAAGCTAAGAAAAATTATTCCCTTGTTTTTTCTCTTCTAT